GTAAGGTAGGAACGGTCAGCGCGCCAGGGGTAGTGGGGACAGGACCCAGGTTCGAATCCCGGCCCCGGCGTTGGCGCACTACGTGTGGCTGGGCACGAGCTGACGTCACCACACCAGGCCTCAGTTTCCTCATCTGGTGCTGTGAGGAGGCGGGGCATGGTCGTGGTCACCACTCCATCAATTTAGTTATTAGAGCAAGCCGGTTCCCAGAAGCTCAGTCTCTCATTCATTCATTACAATTTTATTGAGAGCCTACTAGCTGCCACATACTGTCTGGGCAGCAAACAGATGAAAACGTACCTGTCTGTTTGGATTGACATCCTAGGTCGGCGCTGCCCAGGAGAAATACGTACAAGCCACATGCTTAATTTTAAAATTCTAGTAACTGATATTCTCAATCATTGCTGTGCAGTAGAAATTTAATCCGGCCACAAGTTTGTCAGTTATGCCTACAGTTTAAATTGATTAAATTGTGGGCTGGGCGTGCAGCTTATAGTAGAGCACTTTCCTGGCATGTGCGAATCCCTGGGTTCCATCCCCAGCACTGCAACAACAACAACAAAAAAATTTGTTGATTAATTAAATTATTACCTATGTTTAAAAAAAGTAAATAGTTGCAGGTGGTGTCCGATGTTAATAATATGTTTTATTTAACACAGTGTGTCCAAAATATAATTTCAACATGTGATCATTGTAAGAAATTAGGAGATGTTTTACATTCTGAACTTTTTTTTTTTTCTTAATATATGCTTTTGAAATCTTTTACATTTCAAATTGAACTGACTGCATTTCAGGGACTCATCAGTCATCTATCACCTGTCACCACCTGTGCAGTGGAGATGGGGAGGCAGAAGAGAAAGCAAGTGGATCCCACCTCAAGTGATGAAAAGGGTAAGAAGAAAAATAAATTGCGGGGCTGGGATTGTGGCTCAGTGGTAAAGCACTTGCCTAGCACATGTGAGGCTCTGAGTTCAATCCTTGGCACCACATAAAAATAACGTAAAGGTCATTGTGTACACCTACAACTAAAATAAATATTAAAAAAAAAGGTAAATTGGGGAAAGGGCATGAGAAACATGGGGTTGCAATTTGAAAGAGGGTGGTCAGCAAGATTGAAAAGATGGCCTCTGCAAAAGGAACCAAGGAGACAAGAACACTGAACAAATAATCACATTCTTCATTGTTCCGTGTTATCCCGAAGAACTTTCTGATAGGATGGCATGTTCTATATCGACACTGTTTAATCCAGTAGCCTCTGTCTCCATGTTGCTTGTGGACATTTGGCTAGTGCCACAGAAGAACTGAATTTTTAATTGTATTTAATTTCTAACTAAATAATCACGTAGGGATAGTGTCTGGTGTCGTGGATGGCACAGGTTTAATGCTGTCATAGCAGATGCTCAGAACTGAGTATGTACTTGATGCTGAAGGCTTCATGTACAATCCCCTGTGGTGAGTGCTATCATCATTGTTACCACGAGTAAGAAGGAAGTCCTTAGTTCGGACGAGGTAGTACTCGTCTATAGTCCCAGCTACACGGAAGGCTGAGGAGGGAGGGTTACTTGAGCCCAGAAGTTCAGAACCAGCCTGGGTAACGGAGTGAGACCCATTTCAAAAAGAAAAATAGGGAAAAAAAAGCAGTCAAAATTCATTCATTCATCACTCCATTATTAATAATAGACTATTTTTAATTACCATTTCAGATTCTCAGGGATAATAGAGTTACCATTATTCACTCTACCTGGTTCCTGTTAGTAGCATCTTTTATTAATATGATGCCATTAAAATGGACCAATACTGATAACTTTTGGTTTTGTTCTTTTTCTTTTTTTTTTTTTAGTACTGGGGATTAAACCCAGGGGGTGCTTAACCACTGTACTCAGTGATACTTTGTTATTGACTAAAGTTTATAGTTGATTTATACTTAACTTGTTTTTCCTCTGATGTTCTTTCTCTCCTCCAGGATCACATCCAGGATCCCATGTTACATGTAATTTAATTGTCCTATCTAATCTCTTGCCTGTGGAAGATTCAGATTCTCCTTGTTTTTGATGGCCTTGACAGTTTTGAGGAGTGCTGCTCAGGTATTTTTTAGGATGCTCCACTCTTGGAATTTGTCATGATAAACTGTGATGGTAGGTTATTGGCAGTAAGACCAAAGAGGTCAATTGCCATTTGTATCATGTTGTACCAGGTCCAGCAGTCAACATTATTTGAGTCTGTTGATGTTAGCTTTGATTACTTGACTGAGGTAATATTTGTCGTGTTTTTCCCACCATCAAACTACTTCCACCCCTTTCCTTATCGTATACTTTGGAAGAAGTCAGTAAGTGCAGCCCACACTTAAAAAGTGAAGGGTTATGCTCTGCCTCCTGAGGGTGAATAACTATGTAACATAAATTATTTAGACTCCTTCTGCATGGGAGATTTATTTCTTCTCCATTTATTAGTTCATTCAGTCATCTAGTTATATTGGCAAGGACTCCTAGCTATTTATTTTATGCTTTAGGTTATAACTCAAAACTACTTTATTTTGTTGCTCAAGCTGTTCCAGCTCTGGCCATCTTTTGGCTCTGTTAATTGGCTCCTGTGACCCTTGGGTGTGTCCATCATTGGGTTTTTTGTGTATTTGGTTCCCTCCCACTCTCCACAGCATTTCCTTACTCCCTGGCATTGTAAGATGCTACAGTCCTGGAATCAGCCATTCCTGTAAGGGGACACTGGTTCCTTTTTCAGAGAATGGTATTTGAAATTGAGATCTGGGCTCTGGGAGTGCCTGTGGCTAGGGGTGTTGTTTCTTTTAGATCATCAATACTTTTTAACTGCCCATAGTACATGAGGTGTAAGTGTACACAACAGTAACCATGTCACACATGGCATCTAATCTCATGGACCTTGGTCAACTTGAAGAGACAACTCGCAGTGTGGCCTTGGACAAGTTGTTTAATCTCTGAGCTTCAGCCTCCTACTCCATAAAATGGGGATGATGTACTTCCTGAGGGCACTATGAGAATTCAATGAAATAACCCACTTTTAGAAATTCTGGAACAGAGCCTGACATGAAGTGCTTATTGTGTTTTATTCTTATGAAGAGTAACAGTGAGTTACACAAATGACTATAATCTGCAAAAGCCAGAGTTCCAGAAAAGCATGCAATAGGAAGAGTTAACTAATTTGTGGGTATCTGGGAAGGCTTCCTATGTCAGCAGCCTTGCAGCTGAGGCACGAGGAAGCAGAATGTTACAGGCAGAAAAAAATAGCACATGCAAGGGCCCTGAGTCAGGGGGGCCCAGCACACTCAGGAGTAAGAATGGGCCAGCTGTGGAGACACTGGCCACAGAGTAGACTTGTGGAACTGGCAGGGGCAGGTCCTATGAGGCCTGATTGACTGGTGAGTTCGGTCCCTGTCCTGAGACAAAAGAAGTGATTGTCCCTGTGCACATATCTGGTAAGGGCAGAGTGGTGCTCTGAACCCAGATCTGCTCAGTCTTAGAGATCTTTTTTTACTGGTTGAGATTTGAGATATGAAGTTGTTGTCTTCTGTTTTGAATTTGTTTTTTGTTTTCGTCAGAAGCATAGTATCAGCCCTCAGGGTATCAGGAATCAGAGCGCACTCCAGCCAGGGTTGTTCCAGGTTGTCCTTGCCACCCCTGCAAGTCACCCTCTCTTCCTCCAGCACAAGCTGTGGAGGCTCCCTAAGTCAAGATACACTGAGGAGGCCCAGTTGGGACCTGGGACACTGTTGCCCTGAGGGAGAAACAGCCACATCAGAACACAAATCCATCTAGTGTGACAAGGAACGGGCACAGATAGGCCTCTGGTGGAGGGTAACATCTGACCAGATGAAAGCACAAGAGAGGTCTGCTAGGTAGAGGTGGGAAGCTGGGACTGGCAGGAACAGAAGCACAGATGTCCAGGAGGATTGTTCAGGGCCAGGGGTGGAGGTGGGAAGGGAGAAGGGAGTGACTTGGGACTAGAGAGGTGTGTATCCCCAGCTTTGAAGGGCCCCAGAGAGTCAGAGAAGTTGGAACATTATCCCCTAGACTAGGCATCAGCAAACAGTGATGGGGTTCTGCCCATGCCTGTTTTTGTGCAGCCTGGAAGCTAAAAATGAGCTTTACATTTTTTTATGTGGTTGGGGAAAAAAAGAACAGTCAGTATTTTGTGACATGTAAAAATTCCATGAAATGCACATTGTTGTCCATAAAATTTGACAGTTACACAACAGAGCTGCTCCCCTGTGGATTGCCTATGGCTGCTCAGAGCTACTGTAGCAGAGGTGAAGTTGCCCCGGCAGGGCCTGTGTCACAGAGGTGCACACTGTGCATGGAACTGACCGTTTTGAAGTTTGTAATAATTATGAATACAGGGCCCCACACTTTTGAAAATTAGGTAGCCAGTCTTGGCAACAGGCCATGTGCACACAAAGCATCAAATATTTGCTCTAGGACCCTTTCTAGGAAAAATTTGTGGATCCTCGCTGTGGCAGGCAGAACCATGGCTCCTCAAAGATGTCTGTGTCCCAACCTCCTGGAAACTGTGACCATATGACCTCATACAGCAAAAGGGACTGCGAAGTGATTGGAGTAAGGAACAGGAGATTGAAAGATGATCCTGGGTCATCGGGGCCCAGCGTCACCACAATGTCCTCATGAGAGGAAGGCAAGAGGGTCAGAGGCAGAGAGGAACTGGAAGACACAGCAGTGCTGGCTTTGAAGACAGAGGAAGGGGCCACGAGCCGAGGGATGTGGGCTCTTCTAGACGCTGGGAAGGGCAGGATGTGGGTGGGTTCCCCCCTGAGCCTCCAGGAGGGACCGACTTGTTAGCATCTTGGTTTTTAGCCTGGTGAGTCTGATTTCAGACTTCTGAAGCCCAGGGCTGAGATATAACGAGTGTGTGTTGGTGTGAGCTGCCAGGGTTGTAGTGGTTAATCACGGCACCAGCAGGGAGTAACAGGCAACAGGCCTCTGAGAGAATTCATCCTTTAGCCAAAAGGATTTTTAAGTGGGAGACTTACATGTGATTTTTGTCTTTCTTTGTTGGAAGGAAGGGAACAGAAGTGAACATGGAATTCAGCCTGAGAAGGAGGGAGGCACAGAGGCTGTGTGCACGAGGCAGGTGGAGTGTCAGAGCACAGGTGAGCTGGGGAGTGATGGGGGTCGAGAGGAGGGGGATTCCAGATGTTCACAAGGTGAGCAGTCAGATGTGGACACAGGTGGCTGTCAGATCAATTGAATACAGAGATATGGGGAAGGTCATTCTATCTCAGCCATTTATAGATCTCAGTATGTGGGTTGGGCTGACTTGGGGGACGTCAGAAATGGATGTAATGAGATAAGTTCACTGGTCAGCCCTCAGACAAAGCTGAGGCGGAACAGCAGCCAGGCAAGCTCAGACAAGCCCAGAGAACCTTCAGGAGGCTCAGGATCTCAGAGGACCTGACTTAAATCTGATTCCTCCTCAAGTGCTAGCAGGTCAGTCACAGGGGCAAATAGAAAGCTTGACTCGTTTTTTTCTTAGGCAGCCGAGTTGACTTTCAGGTTAGCAACAGCGTGGAGCCGTTTCCCTGGTGAAGTCACCCTTGAGGTGGCCTCAGTCCCTACCTTCCAGGCATACTTCATTTGCCATTCCTGTTTGTGCACAGTGTGACCCAAAGGGGTCAGCCCTGGAGCAGTCACAGAAATGCTGGCTTTCCCTTACGAATTCCTAGGCTAATAAATTCACTTCCCCCGGCTCAGGGTGCTTATCTATGAATGCAGATGTTACAGCCACCTTGAGTGCAAAGTAGAGACTGAGTACTTGACACATCATCACAGCACCCATCCAGTAAACACAGCTGTGGTCAGCATCCCCAAGAACAGCAAGGGCTGCCCACCTCTGGTCTTACCATTGCAGCTGTAGGTAAACGTGGGTCTTGGAAGTCCCGTTTCCCAATTCATCCCATGTCATGTTCCCCACGACTGAAACACTCAGGGTCACTCCAGGGGAACTGGGCAGCACGAAATAACCACACAAGAGACAGAAAGAGAAAGAGCGAGCTCTTGCTGAACCCTTTTATTGAAGAGAAGCCATTCAAATGAGGCCAGGGGTCAGATTTCAGGGGGCTGAGTCTAGCTTCCTGATGTCTGCTGTCAGCAGGTTGACATCTAGGAAGGCCACACCCAAAGGCAGAGCAAGAGAAGGGGATACACAAAGGCATTTCCATGGAACATTCTATCCCAAACAGGACAAAGGGGTAGTATCACAAAGGAACAGGTGAGTGTAGCTCAATCCATGGGGTGACGCCTACGTTTGAAGATGGGTCCTCAAATTTCTGGGACCAAGGCAATGTCCAGGTCACTCATTACAAGATGTAGTGACGGTCAAAAGCCTCTCCACTCCAGGCCAGAAGACACAGATCATTCAGAGTGGCTCCCCACAATCCCACTGGATCCAGCCTGTGACACTTGCATCCAGTGTCTTTGTGGCAAGAACAGCAGTGGGTATTTTATCCTCTCTAGAGTCAAAGGATAGGGAAAGCCCCACAGCTCTGGTTCCTAGGGTCATTGGAGTAGCCTGGTCTGTCCTGTTGTTCCAGAGCAATATTGGCATTGACTGCATTCACTCTCAGCGTCCCCAAGTGGACCATAGTCAATAAGTCACACTCTTGCCCTCCCTGCTTCTATAGGGACTTAGTTGGCAGGAGCCACCACCACTCCTCTTTGTAAGATTTCTGTGTTTTTTTTGTATTTAACTTTTCTTTTTCATGTCATGAGTTCTCTTTCTTGTGGTGTCTCTCACTGTTTCCCATGTGTTTGGTGGTCTTTTGTAGGCTCCTTTGTATTTTCAAGTGAAAATTCAGTGGTTTCTAATGGAGTCGCAAAGGAATGCGACTGCCAGCACTCTCGTTCCAGAACATTCTCATCTCTCCAGAAAGAAACCCTGTGTCCCTTAGCTGTCATTCCCTGTTCTACCCCCCACAGCAACTAGCAACAGTTAATCTGCTCTCTGACTCTCTGGATTGCCTCTTCTAGATACTTTGTATAAATGGAGTTTTATAGTATGTGGCCTCTTGTGACTAACTTTTTTTCACTAAGCATAATGTCCTCGGTGTTCATCCATGCTGTAGTGTGTCACTGAACCATAAAAAGGTTCATTCCTTTTTATGGATAAATAATATTCCACTATATGAATAGACCATGTTGTGTTTATCCATTCATCCATTGCAAGACATTTGGGCTATTTCCATCTTTTGACTACAGGGACTAGTGCTGCTATGAACATTCATGTATAAGTTTCCATGTGAACATAATGTGTTCATTTTTCTTGGGCATATACTATCTGGTAGTAAAACACATGGGCACTCTGTTTCACTTTTTTTTTAATATTTTTTTTTTAGTTGTAGATGGACACAATATCTTTATTTCTTTAATTTCATGTGGTGCTGAGGATCAAACCCAGTGCCTCACACATGTAAGGCAGGCGCTCTAGCACTGAGCCTCAGCCCCAGCCCCTGCATTTCACTTTTTTTCCGCAATACTGGGAATGGAACCCAGAGCCTTGTGCATGCTAGGCAAGTGCTCAACCACTGAACTGCACCCCCAGCCTTTATTTTCCACTTTTGAAGAACTGTCAGATAGGTTTCTCCAGTCTGCTATTTATAAATGAGAAGAAGACTTCACATGCTTATCAGTCATGGTAAGCAGTTTACAATTTTAATGTCTCCATCCTAGGCTAGAGAAATAGCTCAGTGGTAGAGCTCATGCTTGGTATGTGCAAGGCCCTGAGTTTAATCCTCAGCACCCCAAGGAAAAGAAGGGAGAAAAGGAATTCTAGCCTTGTTCCTCATCCAGCAACCGAGAGGATGACCCACAGGCATTCCCAGGTCTTCCATAGGTCAAGCAGCCTGGATTCTGGGAGTTTGGACACCTCTTTCTCTTACAGATGAAGCTGACTTGGAGGTCTGGTGGAAGGACCAGTCACTGTACGTCAGGGACTCAGCCTTAGTGAGGGGCTATCTGCAGATCTAGAGACTGACCAGGGCAACTGCACCCTTATAGCAGGGACAGGGACCTAGGAGCAGGCAGCTGGACTGGATGTGCCCAGGTGGGAGCAGCAGCCATCTCCCTAGATCAGCTTTCCCACTCCCAGAGGTAGGGCCCATGAATTTGCCAGAGTTTACTTGCAAGATGGCTGCAAGCTGCAAGAGCCCCTGGGGAAGGATGAGTACTTAGGATTCCAGGTTCTGCCCTATCCTGGCAACTTCCACACTCTGTATCACAAGACCCTCTCAGTCCCTCAGATAGGAGACCAGAAAGCCAGATAAAAAACCACAGCCAGTAGCTGGGTGCAGTGGTGCTCGCCTGTAATCCCAGTGGCTTGGGAGGCTGAGGCAGGAGGATCACAAGTTCAGTCAGCCTCAGCAAAAAGCGAGGTGCTAAGCAACTCAGTGAGACCCTGTCTCTAAATAAAATACAAAATAGGGCTGGATGTGGCTCAGTGGCTTAGTGCTTCTGAGTTCAGTCCCCGATAACCTCCCCCCCCCCCGCCCACGACCAAAAAACCCCTGCAGCCCGAGCATTTCTTGGAGCACTCCACAGGCTCACCTCCAGGTGTTCAGAATGAAGAGCAAGTTGCTGGATGTAAGCAAAGCCAGATGTTTTCAGTCCGTTTAAAGCTCATACAAACTGATAGGAGCCAAAAGGGCAAAGGCCAGGAACAGATAACTCACCAAAAACAGGAGTCCACTAACCTGAGCCTGGGTTAGCAAGTGCCAAGGTTGGGGCCCAGGAGTGGGGATTGGCCAAGGCAAAGGCTTAGTCCAGCACAGGCAGGACCAACCCTCACTTCCTCAGGGGTGGTGCCCACTTTAATCAGAAAGACCCTTTGAGGACATTTACCCACCATATTATAGGGTTTGTGGTCTAACAATGAAAATCACTGGTGAAAGGGCTATCCACAGGAGGGCGTTTGTTCCCATCTTTAAAAGGTCATCGTCAAGTGGAGCCTAGTTCAAAGCCCAGAGATGGGACTGATTTGGTGAGTCACGTAGTTTCCACTAGAAACCACAGTGAGGAAGCCTACAACCTGTGGAGTGACAGTGGCCCCCAAACCCTGCGGCAGGCGCAGTCCAGATGTCCCTCAGCACACACTTGCTCACACACTCTGTCTCTGAAAAGTGGCCAAAAGCGGTGGGGGCTGGGATCAGTAAACCCTGGAACTTGGGTGTGGAACCTCAATGCTCCAGTGCACATGGTATAAGAGAAAGGAGCAGGGTCCCAAGTAGCACCTGCCCCCTTCATGGCCTTACTTTGGCTGCAAAAGGTAAGAAGGGCAGTGGAAGAAGAAATGGGGGACCAGTTGGTGGGCTCCAAGGGCAGCACACAACAACGGACTGATGAGAGGTGTAGGGGTCAAGAGAAGAGAGGAAGGGGCTAGAGGGACAGTCTGAAATTGGCCACTCTGGGGAAGGAAAGGAGCCCAGGAGGGTGGGCTCCTTCATGTTGGCATTGGTGGGTGGAGATTTCCACTCCATCCAGTCAGGGCCCCACAGCTTGAATTTGAGGGGAAAGAGGCATCCTTAGTAGTATGGTTACCACAGTGGCTTCAGGTGCAGCTGAGAGGGAAAGGTGGGGATAGGGAAAGCACCTTTATCTTTGGTCCATCTGTTAGACAACTCATCCACTTGTCTCACTGGGTTGCACTTTGGGTGGTGGGCTCTGCTATAGCCCAATGGGTCTCAGCAGGAGAGCTTGGGTGGCCCTTGTCACCCACAGGCACTGCTGGGTCTTCCACATGTCAAGGAACCAGAATTCTGGGGGCTGGACACTCCCTTCTCTTGCAGATGATGCTGGCCTGGATCCCTGACTGGGGGACCAGGGACCATACATCAGGACTAAGGCTCAGTGAGGAGCCCCTTAGAAGTCCAGAGGCTGACCTGGGCAACTGCAGCATTGCAAGGACAGGGACTGAGGAGCAGGCAGTTGGATTGGGTACACCAGGTGGGAGGGGCAGCCCCCCACCCTCACCTTCCCACTCCCAGAGGTGGACTCACCTCCAGGGCTCAAGCTTCCCTGGGCACATGCTTGCCTTCCTCTTCCTCCCCCAGATCCCTGCTGCCTGCCTTCCTTCCTCCCTCTGGACTGTCACCTCTGTCCTGCCCCAGGAATGCTGCTGTTCTGCTCTGGCAGAGAATGGCTGTGAGACACCTAGCATAGGATCTGGCTCTCCACTAAGCTGTCAGCAAACCGAAATGCTGCCCTTCCTGGTCCCTGTGGCCTGAAGGAAAGCAGCTCAAATGTGTCCATCTTGGCCTCTCCGGCTCCCTACACCGGGCCTGGTGCTCAGTAGGTGGCAAAAGTCTGTTGACCAAATGAACAGCAGCCAGCCCTTGCTCTTAGGGGCCAAGAAAAGGATACCACCACCCATGTTCATTACAATCCCACACATTGTAGCTGAGCCCCCACCCTGTGGATCAGGCCTCCCCAACTCTACAGGAAATGGGAGGGCATCCTTCGCCCACTTCAGGGGGAATCTGTCAGAGTCCAGGGGTGGCAGTTGGGGAGGGGATCAGTGACATGAATCATGTAGAGGAGGCAGCATTAAGGAGCTCAGAGAACAAGGCAGGGCAAAGGAGGGGCACCCTCCACCCCAACTTGCCATCTCCTTCCCTGACCCATTGCCCACTGACCATCTTTAAATGAACTAGCTCATACCTTCATCCAGTGACTGGCACAGGGTCAAGAAGTTTCCCCAAGACATTGTCCTCCCCTGCCTCAGCTCTCCCATATATCAGGGGCCTGAGAACCAGAGGCTGCGCTCATCAGGCCTTTGGGTGGGAGAGAAAACATTATTATTATTACTAGATCTATCTTCCTCAGGGACCAGGCATGCCAGGACTTCACGTTCCAGAATAGGAGCATGTTCAACCCACACAGATGCTTCTATTCCAGGGGCAGGCCAAAGTCATGAGGAACTAAAAACTGCTTTTCCCAGAAAGGCAGTTGGGGAGTATTGAGTGGAAGCCTTCCAGCTGTCTGTGGGGTCAAGCCCCTCTGAGTCCAGTAGAGGGGGTGGAAAGCTGTGGGCAACATACTTTAAAGAAGGGCATCTCTCTTTACACTGTGCACATCTGGGCTGGGTGACTCCTTGCCACAAGGGACTGTCTGGTGCATGATAAAGATATTCAGTAGCATCTCTGGACCATTCTCCTCCGTTGCAACAGCCAAATATTTCTCTGGGCATCACCAGGTACCTCTTGGGAGCCCTGGTGAGAATCATCACTGTGCAGAACAGAACCTATGTGGATGTTGAGGTCCTTGTGCCACATTCAGGTATCTAGGGAGCCTGCTATTCACTTGGATGTTCTTTGATGCAGGGACCAAACCCAGAACCTTCTGCATGCTAAGCATGAGCTCTACAGCTAAACTATACTCCTAGCCCCAAGCCTCCTGTTTTATGTGCCCTGTCCCCTCTGCCTGGAGTCCTGTCCCCAAGCCCTACCTGCCATCTTCCAGAACTGAACCCACATCACCACTCCCAAGAATGTTCTGTGGACCTTCTTATAAGTTTGATTAACATGGTATTATGGAAGGCAAAATAGTGCCTCTTCCCCAGATGTCCACATCCTCATCCCCAGAACCTGGGATTGTGTTCCCTTACTTACAAAAGGGAGCTTGTGGGACTGAGGATATGACTCAGTTGGTAGAGTGCCTGTCTCACGTGCACAAGGCCCTGGGTTCAATCCCCAGCACCGCAAAGAGGGGCGGGGCGAGTGTGTAGATGGAATAAGTTAAAAGAATTTGAGATGGGGGGTCATTCTGGATTATCCATGGCCCAGTGTCATCACAAGGGTCTTCATAAGAGGAAGACAGGAGGGTCAGAGCTAAAGAGGGAGACGTGGAGGTGGAAGCACAGGTCAGCAACTGGAAGACACAGCACTGCTGGCTCGGAAGACCGAGGAAGGGGCCACGAGCCATGGGATGCAGGCGCCTCTAGAAACTGGAAAAGATAGGAGAGAGAGGTTCTCCCTGAAGCCCTCAGAAAGAACCAGTCCTGCTGACACCTGACTTTGGGGCTTGGACCTCTGGCATTGTAAAATAACAAATTTGCCTTTTTCTCGCCAATTAGAAAAAAATAAGTTACCTACAAAGTCTCTGTGTTTGCATTGTTAAAATAACTGGGGCTGGGGTAGTGGCTCAATGGTAGAGCACTTGCCTAGAATGTGTGAGACACTAGGCTCAATTCTCGGCACCACATATAAATAAATAAAGTTCCATCAACAGCTAATAAAATATTTTAAAAATATATTCAGAAGCCTGGGGCAGATGATGATGGGGTATGGGTGCTCCAAGAATCCCATTTCCTGGTAGAACCAAGTGGCTCCATTCTAATTTATTTTCTTTGTGGGGAAGGGTTCTGCATAGAATTTAAGAGTTGCACACCACCCCTCAGACTTGACCCCCCCAACCCTGTGGAAATGCTGTGACAAGGTGGAGGCCTCAAAATGCAGAGGGTGGGGGGGTGGAGGGCGGGGTGCTTGGCTGGGACTGCCCTGAGGGAGGTTACAGTCCTATGGTGACAACCAGAGGGAGCTGCAGGTTCTGACAGAGTTCCCATGGCTGGATGGCCTCAGCCCTATGGGAGGAAAAGATTGGACCTGCTTCCAGTATTGGTGGCCTTGGACTTCTGTTTGATTGGCTATTGGAGGTCCCCTGCAATTCTGTAAGAATGTTAGGATCTGTTTTTACATTTCTGAAAAAAAAAAAAAAGAAGAAAGAAAGAAAACATTAGTATTCTGATACAGCTTGCTTTGAATCTGTAGACCAATTTAGGGAGCATTGCTAAATTAATCCTGGTAGATCTTCCAATCCGTGAACATAGGATGTTTTTCCATTGATTAAGTTTATTTAAATTTTTTTTTTTTTGTATCAGAGATTGAATTCAGGGGCACTCAACCCCTAAGCCACATCCCCAACCCTATTTTGTATTTTCTTTTTTTTTTTTTAAAGAGAGAGAGAATTTTTAATATTTATTTTTTAGTTTTTGGAGGACACAACATCTTTGTTTGTATGTGGTGCTGAGGATGGAATCCGGGCCGCATGCATGCCAAGCGAGCGCGATACTGCTTGAGCCACATCCCCAGCCCCTATTTTGTATTTTCTTAAGAGACAGTGTCTTACTGATTGCTTAGCACCTCTCTGTTGCTAAGGTTGGCTTTGAACTTGCACACAATCCTCCTATCTCAGCCTCCCAAACCACTGAGATTACAGGTATGTGCCACCATGCCCAGTTTTCACAATGCTCTTTAGTGTTTGGTGTATTAATCCTGCAACTTCTTAGTTAAATTTATTCCTAAGTACTTATTCTTTTTGATTCTATTCTGAAATTGATTTTTAAATTTCCCTTTCATTGCTCAATGCTATTGTATGGAAAGACAACAGATTTTTGTAGGTTAATCTTGTATCCTGCAAATTTCCTAATTTCATTTTTTTAGCTTTAATAGTCCCCTCTCTCTCTCTGTCTCTGTGTGTGTGTGTGTGTGTGTGTGTGTGTGTGTGTGTATTCTTTAGGATTTTCTACATAGGAGGTCATACCATTCACAAATGGAGAGTCTGTCCTCCATGGGTTCTGATCTAGAGATTCAACCAGTTGTAGACCAAAATATTCTTTAAAAGTTGCAACTATTCTGAACATGTGCAGACTTTTATTCTTGTCATTATTTCCTAAACAATTATTTAGACAGAGTTTACATAATGTGCATTCCAAGCCATCTGTAGATGGTTTAAGTGTGCTGGAGGATGTGTACATTTTTTATGTAACTGCTCTGCCATTTTATATAAAGGACTTGGGCATCCATGGATCTGGATATCTTGGAACCAGTCTCTTCAGTTCCAAGGGGTGACTCTAGTTTTGCCTCTGTTACCCCTCATGAATGGGATTACTGCCTATCAAAGAGCCAGAGTGAACGAGGTAGGTCCTTTTATCCTTCTGCCATGAGAAAATGCAGCATGGCACTATCTTGGAAGCAGAAGATAAGCCCTTAGCTTCAGAACCAAGTGCAATAAATTTCTATAATTTATAAATTACCCTGCCTCAGGTGTTGTTTTACAACCACACAAACAGACTAAAATAACAGGTCTTCCCATCCATTCCCTTGACTTAGGGTGTGGCTACATGATTGGCTTTGGCCAATACAACCTGGGTGGAAGTGACCCCCACCAGCTCCATTTGCAAGGCTGGAGAATCATCATGTGCTTCTGGTGCTCCTCGCACATTCCCATTGCCACAAAACAAACACCTGGGAAACTTCCAAATGAAAAGACACATGCAACAGTCATGAATCCAATTCACAGACCAGAGCAAGGCCCAGCAGGGCTGCAGTCACTTCCTGGACCCACAAGGGAAAGTAAATGTTTGTCCTGTGACAAGAAACAACATAAGCCTGCTTCAGCTGTCCTGTTGCAATCACGAAGTCCTCTCTGAAGAATGGGACAAGCATATTGCTTGTCACTGTGAGGCTCAGGAGGAAAGCTGTGCATAGTTAACCCTGAGCAGGGAGGGCACACAATTAGACAGTGAGCGGTTTGGGGAGGTGGCAGGTTGGGAGGGCTGGGCCTGCAGGAGCTCCCCTGGGGCTGGCAGGAAGGAGAGGTGGCCCATTGTAGAGGGTTTGCTCAGACTCTGTCCACGAGGGTGCATCTGTTCCATGAGACCCGATGGCCGAAAAATGGAGGTGGATGTGGATACATGATACCATTTCAAGGAATGAAGCCAGGTAAGCTCAACGTGGGGCCCAGGCTGTCAGGGTAGCAGGGCTCAAAAGCCTAAAATAAAATCCAGGCCAAGCTGGCTGCCTAAAGATGCTACTGAGTGAGTGCGGAGGGGTCTCAGGCTGAGGGCCCTGCTTGGCAAAGGCTGGGCAGGAGCCCTGGGGGAGCAGCAGGAACCACAGGGGTGATGAGCCAGTCCCCCTCCCCAGTCCCTTAATTGGCGTGTGCTGAGGATGACCAGAAGCCAGGGAATTGGGGCAGGAGACATGAAAAGGTAGATGGGCAGAAGCCTGTTGCTCTCCTGTGGGCACCAATGGCCTCCTGGACCCCTTCTCATGCATGGCTGGTATGCACTATACTGCCAAGGTCCCCAGATTTGAGATGACTCCCATGGGTGCAGTCTGCCGCTTTTGCCTGCACTTTTGAGTCTCCTGCCCAGTGCTTCCCTCTCCAGTGCATCTTCCGCAGGACCTTGGCAATGCTCAGACATTTGACCACAACCTTCCCTTGGCTAAATGAATTTCAGCAGCTCCCCTGTCCCCGTGATGAAGGTCACCTTCCTTGGCTTAGCATGTGAGGCCCTGAATAGCCTGTCCCTCCCACCTCATCTTCCGCTGTCCACCCCTGCCCCACTCTCCCACCCCAGCTGTTGTGGAATTGGCAGCTCCTTCTAGCATCCTGTTCTGCTGGCCTCAAACACCTGCTCATCTTTCAGGTCTCCATTCAGCTATTGTTCCCTATGGAGGCCCGGTGGGTGCCCTAGGCATCCTGCACCCTGCGGCTACCTTCTCCAGGAGGCTGACCTCCAAGCCTTGCTGCATCCTGTGAACATCCTCTGGAGAATGGAGTGTCGGTTATTCCCCTCATGCCCAGCTCCCTGCATATTACTTGCCACCTGTTTTTAAGTGTAGATTTTACAATTATACAAGTATGGGGAGCCCAACAGATTAGGAGATGATTGACATTGAAAAGATAACTTTGTTATTCTCAGTTCCCAAGAGGAGGGGCACACCATGCCACACAGGGCCACGTGGGGAAGCACCAAGGGCCCATGAGGAGGCAGAGGGTACAAAGGAAACCCGTAGGCACAAGTCTCCTCCACAGAAAGGAGCAGGTGAGGCAGGTTAAGGAGCTTAGGCTGGCCTTGTTTAAATCATTTCCTAGGATCTGGGCACACAGAAGGGAATTGTCTGGTACCTGGCCCTGAGGTGACTAAGGCAGGTGGATCAGAGTTGCGAATGCAGCTCAGTGGCAGGTTTCACCAGCAGCACCACAAAAATAAAAATAGTGTTTTTTTTAAATAAAGATATTTTTGTTTTACATTTAATGATCATTAGTAAGCTGGGTGCAGTGGCACTTGCCTGTAGTCACACTCCAGAGGCTGAGGTCTGAGGACGGCTTGAGCCCAGGAGTTAAAGGCCGGCTGCGTTAGCTTTTCATTGCTGTGACAAATACCTGAAAAAACTACTTAACTGAGCAAAGACTCCTTTTAGCTCATGGTTTCAGAGCTTTCAGCCAATGCTCTGCTGGCTCCATTGCTTTGGGCCTGAGGGAGGCAAAACCTCATGGTGGAAGGGCATGAAGGAGGGAAGATGTCCTAGTGGCAACCAGGAAGCAGAGAGTCAGTGAGGAAGAGGCAGGGGACACAATATACCTCCAGTGACCTCTCTTCAACTAGATCCCACCTCCTAATGTTTCCTCCATCTTCCAACAGTGCCATCAACTGGGGACCAACCTTTAGCACATGGCCTTTGGGAGGACAGTAAGATCCAAACCATAACACCAGCCTGGGCAGCACAGCAAGACACTATCTTCCAAAAAAAAAAAATCATTTGGAAGACTAGATTGGCCCTGTCAACTTAAGGTTGGCTAAGCCCCCAGCCCCATGCCTGGCACACAGTAGGAGCTGAGTGTTTGTTGAATGAGTGAAATATCAAATGACCTTCAACAGGTGATTAATGAGGAGTTAGTGACATCACCCTCATCTGTGATGGCTGTGACACACCCACTTGCCTGCCTGAGAGATGCGCAGAAAACCTGTCTCATCAGGGAAGCAGACCTCAGCAGCTTCAAAGAGGGACTCAGGGCTCCATGGAACCCTCTCCTCGGGGCCCACCATTCTCCACTCCCTCCCCATGCCATCCCAGCCCCAGCCTCAATGTCAGCGCGTCAGGCAGTCACCCTTCCCTGATGTTCATCCACACTCATGGGAGAAGCAGGAAAGATACGAGGACTTGGTCTATGGCCAGGACCGGTGCTGGTAGTCTGAATCCCTCTGGCTGGTCGTCCCGTGGCCTGTGCCCAAGGCCATTGCTGCAGCTGTTCCTGAAATAGGCCACCTGTCAGCCTAGGGCAGGAAGTCCCTTGAAGCCAGACTTCCAGGAGGCAGCAGGACTGACTGCATTGAGGACATAGTTAAAGGGGTCACACAGACTGTCCATAAACCAGGTCCCTGAGCATCAGGCCAGGGGCTTACAGAGCATCCTATTTTCTTCCCCTCCTCTAGTTGCCAGGCAACCACAGTGCATCCAGACCAGAGCAAGAGGCAGCTGGTTTCAGGACATACATAGACTGAAAGTGAAGGGATGGAAAAAGATATTCCTTGCAAATGGAAGCCAAAAGAGAGCAGAGGTGGCTATGCTCATATCAGATAAAATAGATTTTAAGCCAAACCCTGCAAATGAGACAAAGATTATTACATAATGATAAAGGGGTCAATTCATCAAAAGGATTTAACAGTGGTAAATATAGCTGCACTCAACATCAGAACGCCTAAATATATAAAGCAAATATTAATAGAACTGAAGGGAGAGATAGACTCCAATATAATAAAAGCAGGGGACTTCAGTGTCCCACTTTCAGCAATGAACATATCCAGACAGAAAATCAATACTGAGACATTAGACTGGAGCCACACTCTAGACCAAGTGGGCCTCATTAACATGTAGAGAACATTCCATCCAATGGTGCAAAATACCCCTTCTTCTCAAGTGCACATTGAACATTCCCCAGGGTAGATCATATGTTAGGCAAAAAACAAGTCTCAACACATTTAAGATTG